CAGGGTGGCGATGCAAACTACTTGTCCACAGTAAAAGACATATACCTGATACTCCTGAGGGAGTCGCTGGGGAAACCTCTGCAGATTACATATTGCCACAGCTCTCTGGTCTTGCCTGCAGGCCAGTTTTAAAGGGTTACTCCTGAGTGTGTGGCAGAAGGGGCTGACACTGCGATTCCTGCAGAGAAAGTCCCATCAATTATCTCCTGATACGCACAGAGACGGTGCAGCACAAACCACATGTGTATATCGCATCACGTCCGTACCTCCTGCTCTGCTGATCAATCCAAAATTTACAGCTCTTCATGACAAAATCGCAGCCCTTCCCCCGGCCCCAGTCCAGTCTCTGCGCCATGCTGTAGTTGGCTCTGTACCAGCTGAAACAATAAATCAGTAATGTCATGGAACATACATACATAACATGCATAACATACATAACATGCATAACATACATACATACATACATAACAATACATACATAAAAATACATACATAACATACATACATAACATACATACATAACATACATACATAACATACATACATAACATACATAACAATACATACATAACAATACATACATAATACATACATAATACATACATACATACATACATACATACATACATACATACATACATAACAATACATAACATACATACATAACATACATACATAACATACATACATAACATACATACATAACATACATACATAACATACATACATAACATACATACATAACATACATACATAACATACATACATAACATACATACATAACATACATACATAACATACATACATAACAATACATACATAACAATACATACATAACAATACATACATAACAATACATAACATACATCTGGAGGGCTCCTTGTCAGCAAGAAATCCTTCTAGTAATACAAATAATCTGCTGCCACTTCCCGAATCTCTCCCGAGGGGCTAATAAAGATTCAGGACAGAGACATGGTCAGCACTGCGCAGATTGTCACCTCTTATAGCCGGATTATTATATACACCGAGTGGCCGGATTATTATATACACCGAGTGGCCGGATTATTATATACACCGAGTGGCCGGATTATTATATACACCGAGTGGCCGGATTATTATATACACCGAGTGGCCAGGTTATTATATACACTGAGTGGCCAGATTATTATATACACCGCGTGGCCGGATTATTATATACACCGAGTGGCCGGATTATTATATACACCGAGTGGCCGGATTATTATATACACCGAGTGGCCGGATTATTATATACACCGAGTGGCC